CCCACACCTCAATTTCAGACTTCTGATCTTCACGATTGTGAGAGAATACATTTCTCTTGTTCAAGCCACCTAGCTGGTAGTACTTGCTTATGGACAGTGACATTTTAAGAGAACTAAGAGAGCATGGTCTCTTTAAATCAAGTAAATAAAATGTTTCAAGAAGGTTGTGATGATCTGTGTCAAATGAGAAGCCAGGATACTGAACGTGGGCAGTGTTGGAGAGAGAAAGAGTGAAAGAAGAACGAGGGAGAATGACACAGAGGTCTGCAGGAAATTACAAAAGAGAGGGGGAACAGGTGAAAAAGTCTGAGAGCCTATGGTCAACTCTCAAAGGAACTGTAGACTTTAGGGAAAAGTGGCTTGGGAAGTATGCACAAGGAACAAGGCAGACCACTACCCCACATTAGGACTTCACATTCTCCTCTTTCTCTCATCGCTCCAACCACAACCCTACCAAAATCTTCAAGTTCATTTACTCCTCATGCCCCAGGGCATCTCTTTAGGGAATCTCATCTAAGACAAACAGCCTCCCAAACTGGTCCCAGGTAGTGATCAGTTCTAGGGATGCTTTAGAACACAGTGTTCACAGTAGTAGAAGAGCAGACTATCAACAAATAAGACTGAATAAAAACCGAATGTCTGCCCCAAAACAGATCCACTTGCCAAGTCAGTGGTTTTTAATGGGGAATGATCCTCCCCCACCACCACCACCCGGGGTTACCTAGAGATATTTTTATTTGTCACACTGGAGAGCAACATGGGGGCAGGTTGCTACTGGTATCTAGTGGGCAGAGCCCAGGGATGCTGCTAAATACCCTACAATGCAAAGGACACCCACAACGAAGACTTCCACAGCCTAAAATGTCAATAAAGTGGAGACAGAGGAGCCCTAGCAATACCAAATGATCTGGGGCAAGAGGAGCTCTTAGGTTCTTTCACATGGGCAATCAATCCCATCCAAACCAGTTGCTCTACACCAGTTCCGACAATGTATGGCTAATGGGCCAGACCAAACAGTGAGCCTTATGAATTCCATTCCAAATCTACTCAAATCAGGCCAGGAAAACTAGGGGGAAAAAACAAAATTAATAACAACAACAAGTTGAGGTTAGCAAAATAATAAAAGTTAAAAAGAAAAAATTGTGTCCTTTATCAAATGTTAAAGAGGCAAGATTAAAATAAGAACAAGCAAAAAGACTTTTCTTTCAACATAAGAAAGCAGAAAATGCAACTCTTTTCATTTTGAATAAATAGTACCATATAGTAAAATTCAAAAGCCAGCATGCTCTCTTAGTTCTACTCACTACCAAAACATTCTTCCAATAAAGTGCTCCATATTCTTCACTGCAAAAGGAAGCTAATTAAAGGGAGGGTTTTCGTAAAACATCTTGGGAATTCAAAATAATTAATGTGGTTTTTTTAATATTAATGTGTTGCTTTTAAAATTAGAAGCCATGAATCTTGACATTAAGGAGCTTATGTGTTCTTACCTCATCAATATTTACTTATAGTATCAATATTAGATCAATAATCATCTACAATTGGCCTTCCCAGAATTCCCATTCATTCTCTTTCAGGCTACCTCACCAATTAACATCTTTCCCTTCCTTAAGGGGTTTCCAGAGAATTGTCTTGTTGTGTTTTTTTTGTTTGTTTTTTAAGATTTTATTTGAGAGAGAGAGAGATAGTGAGAGTGTGCAAGCAAAGGGAGAGGCAGATCCAGATTCCAGAGAATTGTCTTGAAGAGTCTATTTTCTACATGGAAGGCATTCTGACTCTACCATTTCTAGTTCCACCTTAAAATCTGCCCTAGGGAAGTTTCAACCAATGCATATGGAGTAGGATTGCTGTGTCTTAATGAGAAATTAAGATCCTTCTGCCTCAATGCTTTATCGGCAGGCTGCCTGGAATCCAGTGAGCTGTTTTATCAGAGGAACCTCTGCAACAAGTTGGTTTATGTGCCTGTTATTAAAGGAGTAAACCCCCCACTGAAGTTCCCACGTATGTATGATCCCTGACCTGAGAGAAGTCAGGCCTGACCATCAACTGTCTCCCACAAGCTGAGACCAGCTGCAGCTTCAAGAGACATAGGGGTCCTCAAGCTCTGCTCCCTCCATTCGGATGCCAGGAGTTTGTAAAGAAAAGAGCATTATGAATATTTCTCTTCAAAACACATCTCCACAATGTCTGACAGTGTCTCTCCCAAGACTGTTACAAGAGTAGGGCCCATATCTATAAACCCAGTCAAAAGACAACATGTATTGGTATTTCAATTTTTTTAAGGAAGTAACCCAAAAAACACAAATATAAATACAGATACACACACATATAAATCTGCGTATGTGTATATATATACATACACACACATATGTAGAGAGAAAGAGAGATTGCTTGACTCACTGATTGATTCATTTAAGGAAAAAAAAATCAGAAATATCCCAAAATGTCCATCAGGGGAATGATCAAGCAAATTAAATCATACTTACATAATGGAGAAAAAATAGGGGAAAAATGTAAGCATGTCTACCATAAGCCAGCTGTGTTCACATTATTTTTTTTTAAGATTTTATTTCTTTATTTGACAGACAGAATTCACAAGTAGGCAGAGAAGCAGGCAGAGAGAGAGAGGGGGAAGCAGGCTCCCCACTGAGCAGAGAGCCCGATGCGGGGCTCGATCCCAGGACCCTGAGATTATGACCTGAGCCGAAGGCAGAGACTTAACCCACTGAGCCACCCAGGCGCCCCTGTGTTCATATTATTTTATTTCATTCTGCCCACTGCTCCAACAATTACCCTTTGAGGTAAGAATCACTAACCGCAATTTATAGAAGACAAATGAAAAGCCCATAAAAGAAGAAAGTTGCCCTAGGTCACAGGGCTAGTGAAGAGCAAAGCTGAGATTTACATCTAGGTTTTCTTACTCTCTGCCCAGCATTTATTCCACTGCATCCCAGATTTTCCCTCAAGATCTATATTTGGACTAATTCAGTAAATGGAATTGTAAATATAAAATAGTGTTAAATAAAAGTCAAACCATAGCATAGCTGCATTGGTTTTAATCATATGAAACTGTATACACATATATTAAAACTGATGATCATCAGAATGAGACTGACAAAAAAAAACTGGAATTGAAATCATCCCAGTTTGTTTCTCCTATGAAGTTGCTTAAGCACATGATAAAGAAAGTCACCAAAATCTTGGGATGCCTGGGTGGCTCAGTTGGTTAAACAGCTGCCTTCGGCTCAGGTCATGATCCCAGCGTCCTGGGATCGAGTCCCGCATCAGGCTCCTTGCTTGGCAGGGAGCCTGCTTCTCCCTCTGCCTCTGCCTGCCACTCTGTCTGCCTGTGCTTGCTCTCTCTCTCTCTCTGACAAATAAATAAACAAAATCTTTAAAAAAAAAAAAAAAAAGAAAGTCACCAAAATCCCCTCCTCTACACATGCCTGTCCCAGGCCAACGAAGGTTAAGAAGAGGCGATAAATTTAAAACACCTTGTTAAAGGCTGAATGTGGCTGGGCCAGTTTAAGATAAATACCCCATCCTTCATAAAATTCCCAGCTCTTTTAGAGACAAAGGGACTGACTGGTAGAGTTTCTTCACTAGATCAAAAGATGGAATTTCTGCAACTTAAGAAGTTTGAGAGCAAGTCCATGTCTCTACGGAACTCTCCTTTCATAAAAATTAGCACTTACGCTGTATAACAAACATTCTTTAAATTCTTCCCTCAACCAAAAAAATTTAATCCTGGGATATCCCCTTTGCAGTGGCTTTGCCCACAGAGCAGCTATCACCTTCAACCAAACAGAATTACCTTGGAATCTCCCTCCTCTCTTTCCTCTCCTCAGATCTGGGGGCTATCCTGCTGCTTAACAGAGGAGACTGACCCAGGCACGGATCTCACTCGGACCTCCGCATTATGCTGCAACTTGCAGAAATAACTAGGGGGTGGGGGCCTGGTGTGCAGCACCCTCCCACCCAAGCCAGAGTAAGCGGGAATTCATATGAATAACTTTCCAAAGATAAACCGACAAAAGGCTCACTAGGTTTACACAGTCCTGTTCACAAACCCAAATGCTGAGAACTGGGCAAGATACCACTTTTATCTTGCCCCTTGGTTCTTTCATTTTTATAAGGATTGGCTACCTGGGTCTCCTGACTTCAGGAAGACAGTAGGGGCATGAAATGTTGGCAAAAGTCTTCTGAAATTGTTTTTTAAAAGTAAATGGTGTATAAATACAATTCCCACTGGTGTCAGTTTCTTTATGAAAAAGTATTTCTTATTTTAAAAAACATGGTAGTAAAAGTTCCTCTACCGGTTTCCCTTAAAACTACTGTTTTGATTATTGAATAATCTCCCTAGGTTCTCTTTCCTTTTAAAACTCTTACCTATTTCCTCTCTTCTTATATTGACTACTACTAATAAAATATCTTGATTCAAGAATCTAGAAAAATGCTTGAAATAATTTCAATCAGATTAGATCATACTATTATTACATTTTAGAGTAGCAATTAGACCCATAGTTTATTCAAATCTTCCTAACACCAATACACACACAAAAAAGTCAGTCAGCTAAAATGGATGACCTCACTCTTGGCTTCTGGCTACAGCTCCAGAGGTTAATAATAAGGACACGTATCGAAATTTCCTTAATATGCCAGTCACGCTATGGACAGCTTTCTACATATTATCTCATTTAATCTTCACAACAATCCTAAGCAGTAATTGCTTTTGTTCTTAATATTGTTATTGTTAAAGTTCTTGTTACCTATTCCCATTTTATAGATGAGGAAGCAGGCACAGACCAGTTGAGTCACTTGTCCAAGATCACTCATCTAATACACTGGGAGCTCAAACTGAATCCCAGACTGGCGGGCTCCAGCTCCCATGGGACCACTGCGCGCCATCACTGGCACTCTCTGCAGTGGCCATTCCGTTGGCTCCTCCTTCTCTAAGTCAAGTACATTGCTACTGTTCCCAAACACAAACTTAAACTCACATCTCTCATCATTTTCACTGCTTCCCTGGTCCTCCCGAGTCTTCTGGCACACATTGCTAGCCTTCTTTTGATGTAGACCAAGACATTGGTATCTCGTCCTAAAGAAGGAAATATAAAATATCAAAATTTAAAAATACAAAAGCTTTCAGCTGAGCAGCAAGAAAAAAACAGAGGCCTATTTGCCATGCCCTTAAAGGAAAAATTCAGAGAGCACAGAGGGCTCCTTTGGCTTTTTCTTACTTTCAGGAGCACTGACAACTGTGCTAGTAGTAAAAATGCATATGGTGTAGTAAAAGTACTTAGGTTACCAAAGGTCAAATCATGTGACTGATTACCTAATCCATGCTTTTGAGTTAGGATGTTGAATATTTGATAAATAAAATCATCTGCCACAAAGTGCTGGGAAAATGAACATAGCCACATTCAATGTGGTTTACAAGCAAGAATTCCATATTCTTCAAGTCTGCATGCTTTTGGTGGAGATGCAAAGAGGTGAATCTCAGGTTGCATCCTGATGAACTATTTTTTTTTCCTTCTTGACATTAAGTCTGGAGAAGCCTCATCTTGAACTTCTGCTTTATATTATTCTTTCCCTAACACTAGTGACATCATAATCATCTCCAGGTCCCCAAAGAAGTCTATTTTAGCAATATATATTTAGCAATATAACACATTCCAGATATGACAATAGAGTACGCAACAAAATGAAAACTACCCTAGTGTTAGAGAAAGCACTGACAAGCTAACTAGTTATAATAATAGTCACTAAAATGGCTCTTAAAAAGTACATTAACAACTTCTCATCTTAATCTTTTATTTAATTATATGTCTTTTTGGATATGTTTCCAGACCAGTGAGAACATACATGCATTTAATCCTCAGTAAAATTACCATGCTTTAGAAAAATATGACACACCTGTTATAGATTAAGTACATGTATAATATGCAGCTATTAAAAGATGTTAAGACCAAAGTCCTAACATTTCAAGTTTTAAACAATGAGAACAAGATGTGTGTTGAAAATCTGCCAAGCACCTACAAATTATTTTAAAGATGTGATTATATTTTGGATAGATTTAGGCAACAGGTTGAAAGGATTTAATTTACAGAAGAAAAGAAATAAAGTAAATTTCTTAAGTTATAAGGAATGTAATTTTATGTGTTAATTCTCATTAGTTCACAAAATAGACATTACTATACAAATACCTTCAAAATTCATTGTTATAATTTTTTTAAAAGCAAGATAGATATGTGAGACTTGATTAACACACATACTTACTGCAAAATGCAAATAAAACCTCACGCATTATGTGTCATGTGGACATACACATGTATATACACAAAAATCAAAGATCTTGCTATACCTTGGTCATAAGGAGTGTATTAGTCCCACCAAATCCAAGTTTAGCACTAAAATTTAATTTTATAATCTCAAATATAAAGGAGATGCAATCCTACTCTCCAAGATGCAGGAGGGGAAAATGAGGTGAGAAATTCCACCTTAAGGAAACAACCTGAAGTCTGAATGGACAATGAAAGGATTATTAAATTTCTACTTAAACAACCAAAAAACTGACAAGTCAGCAGCTCCAGGAATTCCAGAAACAATTTTGTTGTCTTGTTTTTATACCATTCCTCCAAAATATCACTGCCCTCTGTTTGGCGTACTAAAGTGAAAGGCCTCATTTTAAAGAGTTATCTTAAATAAAAGCAGCCATTATTTTTAATATAAAAGAGATAAATAATTAGGAACCCATGGCTTTTTATCTCTGGAAGCCAATACCAATGAGCTAAGTACTGGGATAATCACCAATAACTGTGATATTCTTAGTTGTCCTATTTCAACCCATGCTGTAGAAGACGTGTAAGAGAAAATCTTTGATTACATTAACATAAATTTAAGTCCAATTTCCCAAATAGGCCTTGTGTTATGGGACAGAGAAACAACTAATAAACAGAAATATGTAAGAATTCTGAGGAGAAAAAAAGGTTGCCATTAAAGGTTATTACCATTTATTTCTAGAGTTAAGGATCTAAAAGACAAGGACAGAGAATCTGTAAATGAAGGTGAATGGTCATGAAGCTATAAGTTAATTTTGTACTGTGCTCTTATGGGATGGAAAAAAATAATAGAAAGGCAAAAACTAGCATTTATTCTCATCTAGGGGAGTCATATTTTGAACTGGCCTGAACATTTGTTCTGATTAATCACGCTACAGTTCTGGCCCCCAACATGCCAGCCTGAAAAAAAGCTTACTGTGTTGGGCTTCGTACTGGGATCCGTGATGCTGTAGCTGCTGAGAACGCCGGTAACAGCCATCTCCAGCCTTCAGGGCCTGCTTGAACAGCTTTTCTGCTTCCGCAATGGTGGTTGCTTCCTCTTCAGCCAAGAGAATGTAAGCAGTCGCACACCTGTCCATTCAGATAATAGCCACCGTCAGTTACAAATCCAAGGATACTGTCACAGCTGGAGGAGTGCATGCAGAAGGGCAAGGAGTTATGCCAAAACATGCAGAGTGGCCGCTGGTTCATGCACCCCTGCTTTGTAGTTGTCGACACAAAATAATGACAAAAAAGAAATGTCTCTATTTTAGCTTGAAAGGTAGGATGTGTAGTGTTAGGAGTGTGGGGCTCACAGATGGACTCTGCCCCTTATTAGTGTGTCACTTCGGGCAAGTTATTACTCTGCCTCCCTGATGGAGCACAACAGGGAACCAATTTGTTGACAGTGTTGTTGCGAAGGTTAAGTAAGGTGATGCATGTGAAGTGCTCAGTACAGTAGCCGGCAGGGGGTACGTAGTCCCATAGTCCGTGTCAACCGGCGATGGCAATGACGAGAGCTGTTGGGAAAGATCTCCTTCCAGCTCTCAAAGTTAGAGATCCTACAGACAAGTTTCCTTCTAGTCACTAACCACTGATTCTCTGGAATCTAAGGATATCTTTAGAATGAGAAGTTCATTAAATCGGATCAATTACGCATTAAAAAAAACAGCGCTTCAACCTCACATTACAGTCAGCACTGATTTTCTGGGCCAGAGAAGAACACTAGAAGAACCCACAGGTAGTGTTATTTCTGAAGAGCTCCAAATCTGATTCAGCCTTGGCAGCGAACAAGAGTTCAGTCTCATGCCTTTAACAGTGACAGCTACCACCACTTGCTGCTCAGTATGTAGGAAGCACTGTACCAGGCACTTAACATATATCGTCTCATTTAATCCTTTCAACAACCTCTAAGCTAGGAAGCCAGAAAGGATAAGCAGTTAACTAACAAACAAGGGGAACTCTTGGAAGTTTCTACCTTCCCCATCATATCAGAACAACCCAACTGCCAAAGAAAGGGAATGTGATAGGAAACAGTGAGGCCGGAGCAGACCATACAGGTCCTGATCTGCACAGATCCCTCTGCTTTCCTTCTTCTCCACTGCCTCTCTTGTGGTCACTTCCCTACTTATCAGAACCTCCATCAGACCACAAGAGAGAAAATAATAGAAAGTGAAACCAAGTGTTACTTTTACCATTCATAAACTGCAACGGCCCAGCTAGGAAAAGCAGGCTGAACTTACAGTCAATGGGAGGATTGGGTGACAAGTTAATCTTAGCCTTGAGGACGGGTCTTGTCAATTCTTTCGTCAATCCTTCTAATTTCATGCAGGACTGACCAATGGGGCTTTAAATAGAATGTGGTGCAATAGGGAGAAAAAATGCCCAGAAAAAAATGCTGTAAAACCAATTACTATGAAGGGCAGCAGATATAGGACTTAGAAAGAACAATAATGATGCTGAAACTGCCCAGCGATTCACTGGAGAAAATAACTGGGACAGGCATCAGGAAGCACTATTTAAGGCTTCAGATGCTGACATATAGGTATGGATCAAGGGTAATGAAGTGAAAACTGAGATTATAACACGGAGTGGTGGATACAGTATCAGCGGATTTAGCTATAAGATTATAGTCGGTGGGCTGGGAATTCAAGACAGGTGGGGGGGCAAGTTGCTTGTTTTATTTATTTATATTTCAAATAGTATTCTTAGGGGGAGAGGCAGAGTAGCACTACTAGCCAAGAAAACATATATCTATGTGGGAAGTCATGAGTCTGGGGTAGAAACATGCTAAGAGCTTGTGAGTGAAGGAGAAAGAGCAATAGAAGTGCTAATGGTTGGGGAGTACAGAACGACGGCTCAGCTCGATGGAAGATAGAGATGATGCATCCTTGTCACAACACAATACACAGACAGAAGCAAGAAAGTATGGTGATGGGGGTGTCAACCATCCAGATATCTGCTAGAAGAAGTCTCATTTGGTTAGAAGTAGGGCACCCGACAGGTTCTTGACTTACTTTGGTAACAATTTTATCTCCCAGATGGTAGAGGAAGCAATTAGGGGAACTTCAACTCTGGACCTAATTCTGACCAAGAAGAAAAAAATAGTTGGTGAAATGAAAATTGATAGGAACATTCAGAGAGAGTTACTATGTATGTCATTTTGGAGTTCAGGGTAATCCAAGAGGGTAAGGTGGACTTCAAAAACTTCAAAGAAAAGAGGTATGATTCATGGCATGAGACTCTGAAGGGAAAAAAATGGTTGAAGAGGGTTGAGCAGCTTCCAAATGTCCAACTATCACCATAGTCACAAATGAACCTCTCAGGAAGAAAAGAGGGGTGACAATTAAATAACCAAAACAGCTGCACAGAGATCTCTCCCAAGGTCAGATTCTTAAAGGACATGTGAAAAAAGATGGAAAGAGGGCATGTCATGAAGGACTACAAGAGAGTGGAATGAGCTAATAAGAATAATGTCAGGAGAGCTAAAACTCCAAATTAGCTGAAGCTTGCAAAGCAAAATAAAGACACAACAAAATGCTAAAGACAACCATCTATTCCCATTTTAAAATTATGTTTAAGGCCCTATTACCACCCCCCATTTCTCTACAACCATCGCAAAAATAAGTAAGCAAAAAAGACAAACAACACAACAACCACATCAAAACAAGAAAAGTTTGTAGTTAGTAGCAGCAGATAATAAAGAGAAAGCAAAACTCTCTAACTACTATTGTTTTCCTGGCTTCTCTATCAAGGAGCATGATTGTTGGGCTGAAAAAGGGAGAAGAAATTAAATTCTAACATGGGTAAAAAGATGTAAGATAGCAAATAACTGATCTATTCTAAATGAATTACTGTACTGGGATGGGCAAATCCCAGGAAGCCAACAGACCCCGTAGGCAGGCAGGCCATGGAAGTGCTCTCTGTGGATAGTTAAGGAATCACAAAGAATGGACAGGTGCTAGAAGATGAGATGACAAATACAGTAAAAGTGTTCAAAAAGGGAAGGAGGCAGACTTCCCAAACTCCAGAACAGTGATTTGGAAAGATATTCTAATAGATTAAAGGGATGGTCTCCAAGCATTTTTAAAAGAAAGTAGTGAACACTAGAAGCTAGCTTAAATTCACTAAGAATAAATAAATCAGGTTGTGCTAGCTTAATTTACTCTAAAGAATTTACTAAACAATAAAGATCCATAGATACAACTGGCATCCTTAAGATCAAAATGGAGAAATATGAGCTGAATCACAGTGTAACTTGGGCGGCTTAGTAATTAGTTGAACAATACCAAAGGATGATGAGTCATGAAGACATGGACCTGGAGGATAGTCTGTATATGTCATGTCACAGAATTCTGTCCCTGATCCTGACATATTTATCAGAAACATGGATGACACACAGAAGGCAGGCATATCAAAATCATTTGTAGATGACAAGAAACTGGAAAATAAATATGCTGTATGACAGAATCAGAAACCAAATAGATCAACAGGTTACAATGGCAGGATTTCCAACTTTCAAGTGAATCTTTTTTTTTTTTTCTAAGACCTCCAAAGAAGATTCTGTAACCTTCTTCAAAAAAAATCATAAAATAGTTTAACAATGACCACTTGGCAGGGAGAGTGTTGAGGTGATTCAAGCACCAGATGAGTGGTTGAGCTAAATGACCTTTAAGGTCTCTGCCAACCCGGAGATTTTATGACTCCAATTTTAAGAATCTTTCCCATTTTCTGAGATCTCCAGAAGATATTTCCCAGCCTTCCTTGGTAACCCACAGCATGTTTGACAACACTAACTACAGCATTTCCTCTTATCTTTGTCTTGATCTTGAAATACTTTTAAAGTGCAATTTTTTTCACTTTACGTTTTTGTTATCTTTTCCCGACTAGCAAAAGCTTTACCTAAAAAATGTGATGGCACAGATGAGAACTCTACAACTGAAAAAAAACTCCCTGTCAATATGTTTTAGATATATAAAGAACTGTATTGATTTTATGTCCTTAAAATATGCCACAGGTAGTCCCTAAAGATCTTGGAAGCCCTGGAATAGCCCTTGGAAGCTGTTTAAGGATGGTCGTAGCAAAACCACTAAACTGCTCTCTAAGATGACAAAAACCACCATCACATGGATATCCTTTACAAAAAAAATTTTTGACAAACTAATAACCCCCAATACGATCCTCAAGGTCAAATGTATAATTTAATTTAAGTATCCTACTAATAGCAACTGAATACATTCAGCAAAGGATGAGTTTTCCTTTTTAAAAGCAAGATTTTCCCTCACTTACTCGTTTATCTCTAAGGCTTCATGAGCTGCAGAAATTCTAGCTTGGGGGTTTCTCTCTCTCCAGGCTTTCTGCATTACTATTTTAGAAAAAGAGAAAAAAGCATGTCCATCAATACACATAATATGGAAGACTCAACACAGTTAGTTAAATTAAAAGCTTTCAGCTTGAGTACAAGACAGTATTTCACTTACCAAGAAAGTCAGCCCAAATCTCCAAAGTCACACAAATATTCTAATTTGCTATATCATTTGTCCTTCAGTAGATGATACCAAACTATGGTCTATAATTTTAGAGACTTAATCTTGATTAAGATTTCTCTTTTTTTTTTTACTGAAGTATTAGTTGACACACAGTGTTAACAGCAGTTTCAAGTATATAACATAGTGATTCTCCAAGCTACATGTTATGCTATGCTCACCACACAGATTAAGGTTTCTTAATCAAGAAAGAAAAGACATTCTAAAAGAGATTTAATACTTCTTTTGCTCATTAGTGTCATTTGTTGTTAAGAAACATATATTATTTTACCTCTTTTGAGATGAAATTGCTACTAATCTCTTCCTTCTACTTAGACACATCATAATCTCTATTGATCATTTCCCAAATTCTATAGGCTCTGGGTATTAGGACATTTTAAAACCATTTGAAGAATTAGGAGTTGGAATAGAAAAAAAAAGTGCTTTAGCCTTTTGCTTAACATGTCTATCTGTTCCCAAAGTTTGCTGCAAACACAGTTTTTATATACCAGAGCAGTTTTCTTTATATATATTGCAGAAAGCTCAATGCCTGGAATATTTATTGGACTATGATATTCCGCCATGGCAAAGAGTACCTTTTATTTATTTTTTAATTTTATTTATTTATTTGACAGAGATCACAAGTAGACACAGAGGCAGGCAGAGAGAGAGAGGAGGAAGCAGACTTCCCACTGAGCAGGGAGTCCGATGTGGGGCTCGAACCCAGGATCATGACCCCAGCCGAAGGCAGAGGCTTTAACCCACTGAGCCACCCAGGCACCCCCAAAGAGTACCTTTTTTTTTTTTTTTTTAAAGATTTATTTATTTATTTGACAGAGAGAGATCACAAGTAGGCAGAGAGGCAGGCAGAGAGAGAGGAGGAAGCAGGCTCCCTGCTGAGCAGAGAGCCCGACGTGGGGCTCGATCCCAGGACCCTGGGATCATGACCTGAGCCGAAGGCAGAGGCTTTAACCCACTGAGCCACCCAGGCGCCCCCAAAGAGTACCTTTCAAAAAAGAGCAACAATCTCCATATTTGTTTTATAAATATGTATATTCTAAGTTAGTTTCTCAGGTGCATGTACATATTCCTCTTTTTAAAGATTTTTTTTCACTTATTTAAGTTTGGTAATATAAAAAATATCAGTGGAATTATTTGAACCTCAAACAATGTGAAATGCAAGCCAAGCAAAGCCTTCTCTAAGATGGAAAACAAATATGGATTCCAATAATTAAGGCCATGCCCCAACTTAATGCTAGTGAGCCTATAAATAGGCATAGAAATCACTACAATATTATTTCTTTATCATTTGGATTCACTGAATCCCAATATCTAATTATAATATCATTAAAGAGACATGACCCTTCATCCTACCTAAACCAAGGATTAATTAGCTTTAAATAAAATTTATACTTCCTCAAAATATATAAATCCAATGTCAGTATATTTTTCTAAATGGTATTTTAAATTATAACAAGAAGACTTGTTTCTACAATGATATTTCATTGTGATAAATCCTTTAAGTATCAGAATTCTGGGCTCTCCTAGTCAATGTCCAATTTAGTATTTTATACATTGGGGGTTTTGTAGAGCAGATATTCTAAAAGCAATGAACATTATTATTTAAATAATAACCTTATTCAAACCAAAAAGCCATTCCACTCAGCAACTATCTAAAAGATTGTCCATACTTGCATCTGCAGGACGCAGGTGGTCTGAGTCACAAGTAAAGAATGTCTGGTGGTCTTGGGCAGAGAGATTCATGTCATAGTAAGTCAAAGGCTCTCGTCCTGTCACCCAAGTATACCTGGTAAAGGGGAAATAAATAGTTAGACACTTTGAGAGAAGAAAGCAAGACCTACAATATATTAAGCTGCATAGCAGCTGAACTATAAAACATGAACTAAAACAGCTTCGCCAATGAATGAAAAAAAAATTTTTTAATCATCCTGTTCTCTCTTTAGGAAGTATACCAGCAGGAAAGAAGGAAACATTTTCCTCTATATTTTTGTCAAAAAATTTTACTAGCACTAGCTAATGAAAACTTACCCTAATTTTATCATGAATAGACATTTCCCAAAAGCCATGAAAATTCTGATATGCCTAATTACTCTGCAAAATTAAATTCCTCCATAACTTCTGTGACATCTTCATAACCACGTTCTAGGTAAGCTTCAAAATATTTTGATTGTACAATGTATAATGAAATGAATAACTGTAATAGAAAATTTCTAAAAACTACACATCTTTATATATTATCCCAATTCTAATCCCAAAAATATTTATAAAACAGAAAAATCAAAACATTTGTGGATTGTATCAAAAACACTACCCAGACGGTTACAATGACCCCTAAATGAACCAGCAAAGACATTCGCTGCTGTCTTTACTCTCTGAACTAGACCCATTTGTCTCCCAAGTTGTCAAATGCTTACCGATTATATTCAGCACCCCTAAATAAATTTAGTGGATTTCGCCATACTTTACATTCTGCAACAAAGAGAAATATGAAAATGTTACACAGAGTTCAGAGACACTACAAGCTAATTAATTCAGCAAACCACCCTTCCTGGCCATTTGATAAGATAATTTTATCCTCTACATGAGAAGGAACATGGAAAAACTCTGAGTGGTTAATCAGGAAATGTAGCTCAGATACAAGGAATTTGGAAAGTTTCCCTTAATCTTTCTAGGCCTAAGCTTCCTCAATTTGCTAAATCAAGGTATAGGTCAAAATCAGCTCATTCATAACTCCAATAGTCATCAAGAGGTCTAAACAAATTCTATGAATTTACTTCTAAAATTATAGGTTGAAGATACAGGTAGAAGTAAAACTACTTTCTATTACTCTAAAATAAATCTTAAAATAATCCTAAATAAGCCTAACTTATGCTCTAGATTATAATAGGCAAGTGCCCTAGATTTTTATTTAAGGTCTTTGTTAATACTGATCTTGTGATAATTCACCAGATTGCTTTTTACATCGCCATAAAGTAGTAATAAGAAAATTAATAAAGGTTTTTTTTAGGGAGAAATGTTATAAAAATATATTGTTTTAAAGCATTAACACTATTTGCTTATACAGATACATGTAGCAATCATTATACTAATATTATAATTCTAGCATGTACTAATAGATTATACGTCTTTCTTTTTTTTTTTTTTTTCATAGCACATACCCTCCCCAATGTCCATAATCCCACCCCCCCAACCCCCCTCCCCCCATTAACCCTCAGTTTGTTTTGTGAGATTAAGAGTCACTTATGGTTTGTCTCCCTCCCAATCCCATCTTGTTTCATTTACTCTTCTTCTACCCCCTTAAGCCCCCATGTTGCATCTCCTCTCCCTCATATCAGGGAGATCATATGATAGTTGTCTTTCTCCGATTGACTCACTTCGCTAAGCATGATACCCTCTAGTTCCATCCACGTCGTCGCAAATGGCAAGACTTCATTTCTTTTGATGGCTGCATAGTATTCCATTGTGTATATATACCACATCTTCTTTATCCATTCGTCTGTTGATGGACATCTAGGTTCTTTCCATACTTTGGCTATTGTAGACATTGCTGCTATAAACATTCGGGTGCACGTGCCCCTTCGGATCACTACGTTTGTATCTTTAGGGTAAATACCCAGCAGTGCAATTGCTGGGTCATAGGGGAGTTCTATTTTCAACATTTTGAGGAACCTCCATGCTGTTTTCCAGAGTGGTTGCACCAGCTTGCATTCCCACCAACAGTGTAGGAGGGTTCCCCTTTCTCCGCATCCTCGCCAGCATCTGTCATTTCCTGACTTGTTAATTTTAGCCATTCTGACTGGTGTGAGGTGGTATCTCATTGTGGTTTTGATTTGTATTTCCCTGATGCCGAGTGATGTGGAGCACTTTTTCATGTGTCTGTTGGCCATCTGGATGTCTTCTTTGCAGAAATGTCTGTTCATGTCCTCTGCCCATTTCTTGATTGGATTATTTGTTCTTTGCGTGTTGAGTTTGCTAAGTTCTTTATAGATTTTGGACACTAGCCCTTTATCCGATATGTCATTTGCAAATATCTTCTCCCATTCTGTCAGTTGTCTTTTGGTTTTGTTAACTGTTTCCTTTGCTGTGCAAAAGCTTTTGATCTTGATAAAATCCCAATAGTTCATTTTTGCCCTTGCTTCCCTTGCCTTTGGCGATGTTCCTAGGAAGATGTTGCTGCGGTTGAGGTCGAAGAGGTTGCTGCCTGTGTTCTCCTCAAGGATTTTGATGGATTCCTTTCTCACATTGAGATCCTTCATCCATTTTGAGTCTATTTTCGTGTGTGGTGTAAGGAAATGATCCAATTTCATTTTTCTGCATGTGGCTGTCCAATTTTCCCAACTCCATTTGTTGAAGAGGCTGTCTTTTTTCCATTGGATATTCTTTCCTGCTTTGTCGAAGATTAGTTGACCATAGAGTTGAGGGTCTATTTCTGGGCTCTCTATTCTGTTCCATTGATCTATGTGTCTGTTTTTGTGCCAGTACCATGCTGTCTTGATGATGACAGCTTTGTAATAGAGCTTGAAGTCCGGAATTGTGATGCCACCAACTTTGGCTTTCTTTTTCAATATTGCTTTGGCTATTCGAGGTCTTTTCTGGTTCCATATAAATTTTAGGATTATTTGTTCCATTTCTTTGAAAAAAATGGATGGTACTTTGATAGGAATTGCATTAAATGTGTAGATTGCTTTAGGTAGCATAGACATTTTCACAATATTTATTCTTCCAATCCAGGAGCATGGAACATTTTTCCATTTCTTTGTGTCTTCCTCAATTTCTTTCATGAGTACTTTATAGTTTTCTGTGTATAGATTCTTAGTCTCTTTGGTTAGATTTATTCCTAGGTATCTTATAGTTTTGGGTGCAAGATTATACGTCTTTCTTATACAAAGACTGCAGAAATTTAGAACCACAGGACTTAGAAAAGTCAATCATTAATTTTATGACTGTCTTATACGAGTGTAGTGTCTTATAATATGCTACAATTCTTTTTAAACAGCCTATGATTAAGACTTTCTACTGATTCAGAATACATTTCTTTGAATGAGTAATATTTAATAGAAAATAAAATCAGTTAATAGTACTTAAAATATTGCTGTATGTATAGTCCACCAAAAGACACCCAAAGACATATACACAAAAAAAAAGTGAAGAATTATTGCAGATATCAAAAGAACATTAAAGACCATGGGTGATTCATTAAGATTCTCAGTCCTATTATATGCAACATCCATCCTTCCACCCATCCATACCCATCCACCCATCCAAGAGTACTAAGCACTCAATGGGGAAAACAAACAAGCAATGCACTACTAGAATACAGCATGAAAACAGAGACCATGAAACACTACAGAAACACTGTGTGTAATCTCAATACATTCTTGATAAAATAGCAAACAAAAGGTATACATATAACAGGAAGACATGTTTTCATTTAAAGAAGATAAATTTATCTTTAAATTAGGACTGGAGCCCGCCTAAAATGTGCTCAATGTTTATAAATAATGGCGCTAAATTTTCTGACACTTAGCTTAATTCGACATTTAGGAAATGATCTTTGTTCATTTGAACAAATGATGATTTGTTCAGTTAGTTCTGCATCTTTGAATTTTTTTCCTGAGAAAGCAAAATTCAATGGCTGTCACTTCCTATAGCACTAACTAAAATATTGTGCTTTTCTTAAATAATTACGGTTTTTCCAGATGTAAAAGCCCTTAGGGGGTCACTAATGAACTTCAGATCATGGCTTGAATCACACTTGTGAGCCAAAAAACCAGGATCGTTGTCCTTAAGGCTATTGTAACTCTGAGGTCCTCATCATTCCCACCATCTCCTCAGAGGATGTCTTTTAAGATCCAAAGTGCTCTTCAAGAATATTGCAAGGCTAGTATTTAGCAAATAACAAATATGCACATATATTTATGTACAAAGGTTGTTCATGGTGGCATTATTTACAAGAAAACAGGAGCATGTGGGGAGATGCCTCTGCCCCACTGAATTTCATCTGAAATATTAGTGAAAAGGTTATGGCAAATAATTTTATCTCCAGTGAATACATTATTCTATTTGCCTAGAAGGATAAGCACTGTTCAAATTTCAAGAAACAAATCATAAAGCAAAACACCTCCAATTAAAATTTCAAATATATTTTATGTTGGATACAAATAAAATTATTTCTACATAAAAATGACTGCAAAGAGAAATGGTGTATGTACCTAAAGTATTTTTGAGCAGTATCTAAAGATACGATCTTTATTAAGGAAGTGTCACAATACAGCCAGCAGGGGGTGCCACAAACATTTTGAAATGCTTTTACAGCTTGTAACAGAAAACTGAACTTTTAAAAAAAGTCACTGCTAACATTAGTGTCATACATGTAATCTATATTGTTTCTCTATCCCTGAAACTTAGTAATGAGGATCTAAGTAACTATAACAGATGTAAAATACTCTGAATGATAAAAAAAAAATATGTGATATAGAAGTACGTAAGAAACGTCTTCATTAGCTGTATCCTTCAAATTGGTGCAAAACCAGAATATTTTTTTAAAGAAATAAGCAACTAGAGGTAGAATATGAACACCTCAAAGTTCTACCTCAAATTAGGTCACAGCTATGTTAATTTCTTCTTTGCTACTCTGTTTCATAATCTTAACCATTACTAGAAAAACTCTCTCCCTCTGGAATTACTCTTGAGTACATAACCCATAAATATCAGACTGCCTGATGGTTTGGTGATAGGGACAGAGGTTATAAATACCAAAAGTATTAGAATGTGAAGATTTAAGTCAAGAAGTTCAACTCAGATATCCAGAGGGTAAAATTTTTTCCACACAAGGTCCAGTCTCTTACCTTACTCATGTCTTTGAGGAATAAATTATTTAAGTCAGAATTAAAATTTTACTTCCAAAAGGAAATTTGCATTCTCCATTAATATCAACAATTTCAGGGGCACCTGGATGGCTCAGTGGGTTAAGCTGCTGCCTTCAGCTCAGGTCATGATCTCAGGGTCCAGGGATCGAGCCCCGCTTCGGGCTCTTTGCTCAGCGGGGAGCCTGCTTCTCTCTCTCTCTGCCTGCCTCTCTGCCTACTTGTGATCTCTCTCTGTCAAAAAAATAAAATCTCTAAAAAAAAAAAAAAATCAATAATTTCAGTGCCCTTTAGAAGACCCAGAAGTTGACATGGACTCCACCAAGGGCTTGCTGACATTAACAGCCCAATTAAAAATATGCCCCAATACAATAAACATACTGTCTATAGTTCCATTTGGAGCAGCCCACAGAAGAGTCTCTATCTACAAATCCTGAGAGAAATATTCAGACCTTAGCACGCATGCAAGAATGTAGTTCAAGAGGAAGAGAAGCAATAAATATTGGAATAGTACTTGTTTAGTTCCTCAAGTCTGCAGAACAGATTCCACCCTTTGTAATAATAGGATGATCATAAGTTTTTATGTCATAGACAAAGAACATT